AAAAAAAAAAAAAAAAAAAAGCACAAAGTCAGTGCTGCCATGCTGCAGATGGAATAGAAAGGTTACAAACAGGTAGGATTTGGAATTACCCTCACAACAGGGACATGATGGGACAAGGCTACAACATTTTTTGGTGGTGTTTTAGGGGCTAACACTCCAAAGGTGGGATGAGGATGGAGGGGAGACTAAACCAAGCCCTGCTGCACTGGAATCACTGATGAGATTCACYCTACAAGGAGGCTGCTGCTTCTCCTTCCCACCTGACATCCCCAGGGAAAACCCATTGGCTTGTTCTTCAMATGTGGCAGAGCATAACGAACATGGAACCAGCCACCCTACACCTCTGTCTTTCCAAATCCAAATCTCCAAACCCCTGCTCTGCTCCTGGGATGCCGGGGCATCGGCATTTCCAGCACTGCACTGCTCCAGCTCTTGTGGCCAGGCAGAAAACAGCCCAAATAGCAGCTTTTTCTGGTACTTCCTTCCRCCATCCACTGGGAGGAACTCTGAATCTATGGTTTATTCTCCAGAGACTCGTTTGAGAGCAGCTGCAAAGATGTTAATCTTTGTGCAGGTGATCCCCGGRTAAACATGGCAATACATGACTCTGGTTTATCTCAAACTGCTGAAACAYGCTACACACCATTTACAGCAGAGCCCCTCCAGAGATACCTGGCCCGGCACATCTGCACGGGCAAATGCAGCAGATGGAGGGGGACTAATTAGCCAGGGCAGGTTCAGAGTCAGTGACTTTCCACGAGTGTGGCTGGCCAAGAAAGTAAAGCCAGCCCTGAGTTACAGAGATGTGTGAGTGTGGTGGGAACAAGAGCCAGCTACACCCAAATTTGTGGTGGGGAGGTGTTTCTGGTCCTGTTCTCTGCAGGTGCCTGGGTGCTTTGGTTGTCACCATGGGAAGAAACAACCCAGAAAGGATGGGTGGCTGCTGCAGAGCTGGGACCAAGCCCCGCTCTTGGGGTGGCAGAACCACAGGCAGCCCTGTGGTGGGACCAAAGGAAAGGACTGCAAGAACCTGAGGGGTTTGGCTGGTTGGGTGGGGCCTCAAAGGCTGTGAAAGTGCAAGACMGGACAGTTAACTGCACCCACATTTCACAGGCCTCACTCGCCAAAATACAATGTTTCAGTTTCATGTATGAAARAAAAAGAAGCAAARAGAAGCGTTCACCCAGCTGTGTCAGCAGCTTCTGCTCACTAGCTGGGGTTCACACCAGGCCCTGCAGTCACTCTGATCATATCTCTGCACTGTGTGTTGCATTTGCACAATAACCTTGACTCAATCTCCTAAAACACGAGCTCTTTATCAGAAGGCAAGTTAACCACCACCATCATCTATCGGCCGAGCCACTGCACTTTGGCATTTGCTTCTCTCTCCCTGCACCCCTCCTCCGAAATTGTTTTCCCATTCCTGACCCTTTTCCAATTGAGCCAGAGAATATAAAAAGTTCATTGTTTTGTCACAAAACCTGGGAAGACAAGCAAGAATGAGACTCTTTATTATTACAAGACTTCTAAAGCCTTTTCAGTCCGCTGCGTGTTTGTGTATGTCTGCTAAGTGGACCTTAACTGCTATATACAGTGGGTGTTCAGTATAATTTACTAGGTTGGACTATTCCTCCCCCACAAAGATGTTCCTCTATTGTACTTTTTATTTTTCCCTTCGCGTGGCAGATGAAGGGCTTTACAACACTGCCTTCTGTGTGTTTGCCTAAAAGCTCTCAAAACTTRTATTGCTGGGAAAACAAAATAGCTTTTATCTGTACTAGCAAAGCGGAGGCAATGTCAAACGTGTCATGTTCTTTGGCAAGGTACCCAATTTACGTAGGAAACAAGTTCTGAAATGGTAATTAYGCTACTGGTTAATCATTTTTAAGAACAGCATTACGGGCCTTCGGTGTCTGATTAGGTTTTGCCTATGGAACAGCTTGACAGGGAATTGAGGGCTGGTGGGGTGGTCCTGCAGCAGCGGCTTGGAGGYACCCACATGCCCCTGCACACCCTGGCCCTCGGGTTTCTATTCCTGGAAATCTGCACTTCAGCAAAAATATTACAAAGGAATGATAAATAGTGGAAGGAAAGGGCTGAGGAAGACCACAGTGAGAAGGCTGGGTGATTATAAATCGGTGTAATGACAGGTAGCTGGCATCACAGCCACTTCTACCCATAAGGGTGTGCTCCAAGGGGGTCTGTGCATGGTGAAGACCCACCACTACCCTACAAAAAAACCATACAGAGGTGTGGCTGATGCTGGCAAAGTCACAGATACTCACGGGTGAAGCTGGATGTTAAGGCAGAGCTGGGCTTGGGCTCTCCACGGGAATTCTCCTCATCAGTGTCCCAGCCCGAGGATGACGAGGAGGACAGTGGGGAGCAGGAGGAGGAGGAGCAGTAGGTGCTGTCATCCCCCAGCTCTTCATACTTCCTTTTCAATACTCCGCTCATGGTGATGCCGTATTTGTCATATAACTGGAAAACAAAGGAGAAAAGCAAAGTGAAACACTGGCAGTTTCTGATGGCAGCTGTAACCCCCAGCAAGGCTTTSCCATCAGATCCCCTTGGCCATGCAGATGTGATTCCCAAAAAGTGTTCCCCTTAAAATACCTCTTCTTACTGTGCTCGCTCTGCACACCTGTGAATTTCTCTCTCCTTTTACAACACAGCAGAAAGAAACCTGACTACCCCAGACAACAAACTGCCCAGAAACCAATCCAATCAACGCAAATGTTATCAAACAGTAAGTGTTACATTTTGCTTACTAATTCTTTTATGCTCACTCCTCACCCAGATCGCTTTCTATGCAGTTACAGCTTTAACGTCTTGCTAATTACAAAAATAAGCCAGTTTGCAGAAAACAATCTGTTGGCATGATTTACTCACTACAGCCCCCCCGGGGAAACAGACTTATTAAATGAAGCACTGAAATACAAATATATCAACTGTGAAGAACAGCCCTTCTCCTCACGGTGCCTTTCATAGTCAGTCCCCCATTCAATAAGCTATTCTTGTTTAGGCTGGGTTATGTATCAAGCATAGTAGCAATTAAAAACAACGCAGCTAATTAAAAACAAAGGAGCTCTGTACTTGCCTAGATTCCCAAATTTCCTGCATGCTTTGCCCCTGCTCATCTTAAAGGAAAAAAAAAACAACAACAAAAGAAAACCCACAAATAACTGTGCTGCATCTTTTAAACTTTGCTTTTATAAAGTTTGTGCAAATTTGGGAGACAAAAAAAAAAAAAAAACCCAAAACACAAAAGCTGCAGGCTTTGCCTACAGTAGGTTTGGACAATGCTCTCAGGCACAGGGTGGGACTCCTGGGATGGTCCTGTGCAGGGCCAGGGGTTGGGACTTGATAACCTTTGTGACTCCCTTCAGCTCAGGATATTCTGTGATTCTAATGAGTTCRAGCACCCACCTACACTTGGGATGCTCCTGCACTGATGATGGAYCATTCCAGCTTTCAGACTCTGGCTGCACTGCCCCAGCTGCCGCTGGCCCTGCAGGAGCCACTGCTGGGTTATTTCAGAGCCAGTGATSCATTCCCAGAGCTGAGAGCCAGGCTGCTCCCAGAAGGGTGACTTGCTCTGACCCCATCCCACCAGGCTAAAAGGCACAATCACAGTGGGAGAGATGCAGCCCCAACCCAGAAACTCCTTCCAGCAAGGAGGGGAGAGCCCCAGCCACCCCATAATACACAAAAGCTATAGCATCCCTAGAATTTGGCTAATGCTGGTACAGCAGACAGCCCTGGGATGGTGACAGGGCAGAGACAGGGGCACCAGACATCCTGGTCCTCATCCCCTCCCACCACACGAAACTTCTCCACCAGCCAAATTCATTCTTTGCAACCCAAACACTTTCTCATTCCACTTTGCATGTCTGAAGKTAAGTCTCTGAAAAAGAAAAATAAAAGCAAAACTAAACCTGCCCTTCCGASAGCCCTGAGGAGGCAGCAGAGAYGCCACAGCAGTTTCAGAYGCTCCCCACGATGGGATTTGCAGTGTCCCTACAGCACCGGGCAGTATCACATTGCAGGATGGGAGCACGCACAGTTCCTTCCAAGCCCTGCACCAACCCTCCCTAAYTATGTTTACCACCAGCTTCCCAGGAGACAATAGTCACCTAAAAGGTCACAAAAGCCCCTGGATGAAGCACTTCCCCGGCCTGGAGAAGTTAATCATTCTCTGCAACATGCGCTCACGGGGCCAGTGCGTCCCCCACAGCTCCTGAACCTGGGGAGAAGTGATCCTTCCATCCCTCCTCCTCCTCCTCAGCAGACCTGGAGCTGCAGGTGGTTTTGCCACAGAGGGGTTGTTGTTTTTTTGGCCTTACTCCAAAATAGATGCAGAGAAGGTGGATTTGGCCACCCTCCAGCCCCAGCAGCACATGTCCTACCCGACACCTGGATTAACCCCTTTCCTGCCTGCTCCACAGCAAAGCTGAGCTCACARGCAGATACAAACCAGCAGCTTACAAAGCTTTTATTTGTATTATTTTTGTTTATGTGCCTCCTGCTCTGTCTCATGTCTGCTTTAAAAAACAATCAGGAGTGAAGGAACTCCCCAAATTCAAGGCAGGGGTCTGAATCAAAGCCTGGGCCGCAGCCAGAGGTTTGCAGACCCCATTGTCCACCTGGAACAGGCGAAAACTTTGCAAAAAAAAAAAAATCCCAGATGTGGCTTCAAAAAGCATCAGATCATGCTGCAGGCAGAATGCTCCCAAGGACAATGAGGGATGACTGTGAGGATGCCACTACAGCCAAGGGAGGGAGAAACCAGGTCCCTAAAATGCCTGTAGGACACATGTCCAGCAGCAAAGACCCTCAGAGATGCGATGCTGACCACATCCAAGCCTCGTGGGATCACAGGAGGGTGCTGGAGCAGCCAAGGTCATGCTGCTGAGACAAGGATAACTCCCAGCTCTGGACCAAAGATGCAGCAGCTCTGCTGCTCAGGTCACCTGCCAACCCAACAGCCCACCAGGGGCTGGACCATATCCCCCCCAAAACACCCCACAGGGGAAACTGGAGTGCTGTCCTGCAGCCAGCAAACCGAGCTGACACAAACACCAAGCTGGAGCCAAAGCAAGCTGTGCATAAGATGGTGCAACCCTATTTGTTTATTTTTTAAACGCTATCATCAGCCAGAAGAATGAAGAGAGGTGTGTGCAGCTCCGAATCTATGAGAATGAGCCAAATGGATAGGGGAAAATCCCACTTTTGGCATGCTGTCTACTTCAAGACACCTATTGTTTTGTTAATGCAAAGTAGGTGCTGTGCAAACAGGATTCCCAGCTAATGGGGAAAAGCTGGTGAACCTGCTGCCCACCTGCCAAAATATATTAATTTTCCCCTGTTAYACCTTCCTCCTCATTGCTGATTTATGGCTGTGACGTTTTCCAAGTCAAGTTTTCAAATCCTACTCAGGAGTGATGTAGTGGAGCTGCACCCATCTGTGTTTGCCTCTATCCTACCCCAAAAAAAAATCCTCCAGGTGGGCATTTTACTGCCAAAGCCAGGACAGTCCTCTGCTGCCCTCCTCACCCTGGCACTTGGGAGCAGAATTCACACCAGCCATTTGGATGCTGCCTTTAAAGCCACATCACCGAGGCCACTGGYCACTCAGCCAAAAAAGCCCAGAGGCCCATTCTGACACAAGGAGGATATTTTAATTGCAGTARTTTTGCAAGGAACCTTAAACCCACAGCAGTGTCTTACAAGCAAGTCCCAAAAGTGTCCACAGCAGCACAGAAAAAATAAGTATCTGTATCTGAGCTGCCATTGCAAATCTCTGCAGGCACCACTGAGTGCAGGATTTTACCACCTTCTCCTCTTTTTTTTTTTTTTTTTTTTTTTTTTTTTTTACATAACCTGAAATAAAATAATCCTATCTTCCTTTCAGTTGCCAAAAAAGACATTCTGTTCTTGGCTAAGACTTCTTACTCATCTATTTTACTGAAAACAGCTTTTGGAACAAGTACATAATGCAATGGATCAAACCCGCAGGAATTCCTCTCTGGCACCAGAACTCCCACTATCCTGGGAATACTTTCTAACAAATATTTAGCCCAGATGTGCATTCCTTTCTTTCTCTCT